GACTGCGCTGGCTGGGGGATTCTGGGAGTTGAAGTCCACAGGACTTAAAGTCGCCAAGGTTGAGAAACACTGTGCTAGATTTCCTTTCGACGGTCCTTGCGGAAGTGCTGGTTTCAGAGCCTCCACTCCCAGTCTGGGCTGGTTTTGGGGGCCCTGGAGGTGCCGGCTGTGGCCCTTGGCCCTCTCTCCGCTTGGGGCCACCCCCCGTGGGGTGAGGCCTGCCCGCTTCCTCGAAGGATCCTTTGCAGCAGAGACCGCCGGGCTGTGAAACAGGGAACCGAGCGGAAGGGGATCTGCTCACCTCCCGAGAGGACCTGCTTTGTTGTTACGGCCCCCGAGTTCAAGTTTGCCTCTTCCTCTTCTCCTTCCTTCCTTCACCTGCCGGGCGGGCGGGCGAGGCGCTTGGCTGGCAGCCCTGAGCACAAAGTCAAACATGGCCTTTGGGCTTCGGCTTTTACGCAGCGCCTCCCGGAGTCACTCAGCCAGAACTCTGAATAGAGGCTCCATATGTCTTGGGCAGGGGGCCGGAGGGGTGGGGGGAGGGAGCCAGGGGCCTGGGCTGCAAGAGGAGTGCCCAGAGGGGTCCCGGGGTCATCTGCCTTTGCTGGGTCTTGGGCAGGGGGTGGGGGGGCTGCTTAAGAGCCCAAACACATCCGGAAGGCTGCTGACTTTGCCCCATCGGAAGGCCTTTGGGTCAGGTGGGGGCTGGTGAGGGGTGGGGAAGGATCTGCAGCCCCTGGGAAGGGCCATAAGCTGAGCTTTTGCATGGTGGGGGGGGGGTCTCCCATCAGTCTTCCTGGGGCAGAAGAGAATGTTTGTCGCTCAGGGTCTCTGAGCTTTGGGGGGGGGGGTCTTGCTGGGGGTTTCCTTGCAAACGTTTCATGACCCAGCTAGGCAACGTCTCCCGTGCTAGAGGAGAAATGCTCTCTGAGCCCAGTGCTTTTTCCCCCAGATGTTTCATGAGCCTCATCAGGACTAAAAGGGAGGGGGGGTGGAGAGGGAGGGGGGGACGACTGTGTGGTCCTTGGTGGTCTCTGAGCCGGGTGGTTTCCTCGCAGACGTTTCACGACCCAACTAGGCGACATCATCAGTGCTAGAGGAGAAGTGCTCTCTGAGCCCAGTGCTCCCCCCCCCCCAGATGTTTCATGAGCCTCATCAGGACTAAAAGGGAGGGGGGGGGGAGAGGGAGGGGGGGGCGACTGTGTGGTCCTTGGTGGTCTCTGAGCCGGGTGGTTTCCTCGCAGACGTTTCACGACCCAACTAGGCGACATCATCAGTGCTAGAGGAGAAGTGCTCTCTGAGCCCAGTGCTTCCCCCCCCCCAGATGTTTCATGAGCCTCATCAGGACTAAAAGGGAGGGGGGTTGTGGAGAGGAAGGGGGGCGACTGTGGGGTCCTTGGTGGTCTCTGAGCCGGGTGGTTTCCTTGCAGAC